AATCCACTGGCTTTGTTTTTAATATTCTGTGTTTTTCACTGGAAGGTTGTGTTATTTAACTTGTAAAAGTGGTTCCTAAAATTTCTGGAATTTTAAGAGTTATCCCTTTGTGAGCTGTCATGACCCATCTCATTTTGTCGGTGGGGCGTCAGGGAGAGAAACACGGGGTCTCCACAGGTCAGATGCCCAGAAATCCAGGCCCTTGGCTATCTGAAGGCCTGGAGCTGCGGCCGGCCCTGGCCCATAGGATTAATGCTGACCATAGAGGGACTTTGTGAAGGGTGCCATCTCTGCCTTAGGCCCTGACCAGATGCTTCGGGTGACTCAGAACCCAGACATTTCTGTGCCCCGGGCTGGTGTCCCCCCGCCTCCCCTCTCTGTGTCCAGGTGTGTGCGTGAGGGTGGGGCGGGGAGATCAGAGATGATTTCCACCGTCTGCAGGAGTCCCGTGCCTGCCCACCCCTCCTCATCTGCTCAGCAGCAGAAAAGCCCGAAACTCACCCTTCGTCTTCTTTATGTCAAAAAGTGCTCTCTCTCTCCCTCCTTCCTCTCTTCTTTTCTCCCTCCATTCCTTCCCCCCTTTTCTGCCTTTCTCAGTAAACATCTTGTCAAGACGTAACCTACACCCAGAACCTGGTACATGTCATAAACACACCCTCAAAATGTGTTTGTGTGGCTCACACGGCCCTGAAACCGGAGCCTGGATCGGGCAGCACCACGTCCTCCTGGGCCCCTTTGGTCCCAGCCCAGGGAGGCAGCGCCCCACCTCTAACCCTTGTGCATAGCTGCCCTGGGTTCCGGCCTGGGGTCGAAGGAACCACCCCATGGGGCTTCGTTTGTGCCTGGCTTCTGTGTGGCATCCCTGAGACCTGCTCCGCATTCCTGTAGAGCAACAAGCGCTGTCTCTGTGCAGTGTGCAGACGGCCTGTCTGGAGGATGCTGACACACTCATTAGACAAGCCAGAAGGYGGCAGCTGAAGGGATGAAGGCCGGCCCCCGGCGCCTGGGATCCCTCAGCACCCGAGGCTCCACGTTCCCCTCTTTTGGAGATCTATTTTCTGACCCAGGCTGCGGGTTCTGCCCTGGGGTTTCTCTGAATGATCGTCATTCGTGGAGTGTGTCCCAAGCTTCAGGGGTTTCCGAGCTGAGTTGGGGAACAAGCAGGGGAAGTGGAACTCTTGAGTAAGAGGAGCTGGGCTTCCTCCTGATTTCCCCACAGCCTCGGACATGGGCGCTGCGGCCTGGAAGGTGGGGGACAGCTTCCGGAGATGCACTGGTTTCTTTGATGTGTCAGYTTGGCAGACACAGGTGACAAGGTGTTTGGTTACAGGTTATTCTGGGTGTTTCTGTGAGGCTTTTTAAAATTAGATGTGCATTTGTGTTGTGGCTGAGCGGAGCAGCTTGTCACTCTGATGTGGATGAGGCTCGTTCAGTCCACCCGAGGCTGAGTGGGAAAGGCTGGCCTCCCCGGTCYTCCTGCTTGACCCCCTCCAGACTGAGCCTTGACTTCTTCTCAGTCGGAACCTCAGGTCTTCCTGGCTCTCCTGCCTGCTGGCCTTTACCCAGGACCGGCAGTGTCAACGCCCCCTCTTCTCAGGCCCGGGGACTTGGGCTGTAACTAAACACCCTGGTTTCCAGTTTGCCAACCGAGGGTCTCGGAACTTGTCAGCCCCATAACCACGTGAGCCCATTTCTCTTGATACCTCTCATTCTACGTACTGGGTGTGTGCACCGATCAGTTCCTTCTCTCTGCAGAACCCTGGCTGATCCAGGAGATGAACCCGAGTGTCTTCTGTGGGTGCAGCACACAYCTGGGGCTGGGCCAGGGACGCGGGCCCCGGCGAGTCTGGCCACTGAAGACGTGTGCCAGGGCGGTGGTTGTGAGGATGGAGAGGAGGGGGAGGCGGGGGAGGCGTACTCAGGGTATCACCACAGCATATGRGGCCTGAGGACTGGGGGGTGGGCCAGAGAACGATGGGTGGGGGAGGAATCACACGGTTCATGACCTCCATGACCTGGCCCGGGGTGGGGGAGCTGAAAGAGCATTGATCACGTTTTATATTTTCAGCATTTTATGACGTTTTGACAGTTGAGAGGGTCTCAGATGCAGGGGGAGATTAATCTCTAGCTAGTTCCTAGAGACAACCACGGAAGCACACCTTTCAGAGGAGAGCCCAGCAGTCAGGAGACAGGAGGGAATTCTGGATCATCCCTGGGACCAGTGTCCTAGGTGAAGGAGGGCGGCAGCGGGGCGGGAGCGTGAGACAGGGTCGGAGGTGCCACGCTGCTGGATTTGAAGAGGGAGAAAGCGGCTTTAGGTCGTGGAAAGATGGCCAGCCCCTGGAAAGGGGAAGGAAAGGATCTCTTTGCTAGAAGTTCTGTTAGAAACAGCACTCTGGATACTTGATTTTAGCCCYGCAAAACCCATTTCAGACTTCTGACTTCCAGAACATTTGGATAACAAAATTTTTGTTTTGTCAACCCACCAGATTTGTGGTATTTGTTACAACAGCCCCGGAAATGAAGACAGCACATTGCTACCCACTGGTACATATATCACCCTTTCTTTGGTTCTCTTAACCCTACATGTACCTTCATTAAACTCTCTTCAATCAAATAATCTTAATGTGTTGTCTCTTTATAGAGGGGACTATTACTGAATTATTGATGCAGAAAAAAATAATAGACCTTCCCCAAATCATAGAGCTTCTAAGTGAAGTCAAGATTCCAGTCCAGACAGTGTGACAAGAGGTCTGTGTTCTTAGTGTCTAACTTCTATTGGAGGGGTTTGTTTTTCATGGATGCAGCATTCAGGRGTGAGCTGGATATCCTCAGGATTTGGGAGTAGACAGGGGCTATCATCTGTCCTTGTTCTTTTTTTTTTTTTGTACTTGGGATTAAATCCAGAGGTGCTTAACCACTGAGCCACATCCCCAGGTCTCTTTTTGATATCTTATTTAGAGACAGAGTCTCACTGAGTTGCTYAGGGCCTTGCTAAGCTGCTGAGGCTGGCTGTGAACTTGTGATCCACCCRCCTCAGCCTCCCGAGCTGCTGGGATTACTACCACACCGGGCTGTTCTTGTTCTTTATGCCACATCCTGGGCCATTCTCTCCTGCCTTTTATTTCTGGTCCATGTGGGACCAGGTGATTCCCCAGCAGGTCGGGCAGAGAACAATACCTACTCACCAAGTTATGCCCATTTCCCTCAGCTTGCTCAGCCTCAGCCACAGGCACCGACCGGTTGAATACATCCTGGCAAGTATCTTAGAGAATTTAGGAAGGAATCATTCTTTGCAATTTGCAAATCCCCCTCTAGCTGGATTAAGCTCACAATCTGCACTAGAAGAACACAAGGGGATTTAAGGGGAGACTCCAGCAAAGAGCACATCTCAGTYGGAGGAGCTGGATATTGTCCGGTGACCTCTCTCTGCCCCGGCAATCCGAGACTCCTTGTTGTCAACTCTCACATCTTCTTTGCTCAGATGGATTCCTCCCTCCTCTCTGTGACTCTTTCTACCAAATTAGAGAAACTGAGGGTGTTTGGGGAACCTCTGAACTTTCTGTTCGTGTCAGAAATGAGGCTTTCTTGTGCAAGGACCGGGTGGGTCCTCTAACCTGGTACCACATCCTGTCCTGGTCTCAATTTCCCCGTATGTCAAGATAGGAAGAAGTCAGCTGGCTTCAGGGAGTTGGAGATCTAAAGAGATACCAGCTGCAAGAGTTCCTAAAAGAGGTGCAGGAGCAAAAGGTTTGATGCAACAACCATTTATTAAAGGAGTCAGACAATGCCCTGCAGAGGCTGAGGGTCAGAGGGATAGATTGTATGAATGCTCCAGATGCTGTAATGAAGGCTTGGAAGGCGCCTGGGTTTGCTCAGGAAAGATCTTCCTGGGAGTCCAGGGAAGGGGCTGAGTCCTGAGAGCAGCAATCACTGCCCAGCCTTGGGCTTCTCCCGAATCCAGCTTTCTTCTCCCATTTTCTTCCTTTTGTGTTCTCTCTCTCTCTCTCTCTCTCTCTCTCTTTAAAACATGGAATAATGTGATGCTCAGTGCGTGGTGTTTAAGCAACTCCCTCATCCTCTCAGAAAGGATGCTGTCACTGATAATTGGCTTGGGTTGGGACGATGGTGGGGGGACAGGAAGGCAGAGACCAGGGTGTGAGGAGTAGAGAGCTCTGAATTGGGTAAAAAAAAAAAAAAAGAAGAAGAAAAGAAAAGCAGAAATCTTGAAGGAGGAGCTGGGAGGGAGGATGGGCTCCGAGGGTGTCTGAAGTTCAGCTGGACACTCTCACCTTGCTCTGCGGCTGACTGGCCCAGAGCCCACATTACCAAACTTCTTGAAAGCGTGTTCCCCATTGGRGGATCTCATGCAACCTCCTGGGTTCCACTCTGGGTGAGCCAAGCTCAGAGCAAGGGAAACAGGCACCGGATACTCTGTGAACTGGACTCATCCTTCACTGAAGCCAGAGTTGGCGCCCCGAGGCCCACCCCGTGGGGAGGACGATGGGTTTTCCCAGCCTTTACCACAGGAGGAATTAGGCAATCTTACCTGGACTTCAAGGGTTTCAGCTGACATCTCCACAGCTCCACGGTGTATTTACTTTTTGGCCTGAGGCCTCTTACAAAACACCTTGTAAATTTTTTTTTTGTCTGATTTAAGCCCTACCTCTCCCTCCTCCTTCATTTCCTAAGGCGACCCTACAGTTGATGGTCCACAGCAGGACACTTTTGAGAAATGAAGTGGACATTATTAACGAYGTTAGGGTAATAGGTATCAACTGGGACCCTTTGGGGTTAATGAGGATGCATGATTTCTCTTCTCACCTCTGACCAAGCAGGCAAAAAAGAAAGAAAAAAAGACATCAGTAGTAACCTCACATCTTTTCCCTCTCCCCAAATCAAGGGGCATGAGATGGGCAGCCCACAGCTGGGGGACAGTGTCACTTGAGGAGAGAGGAAGCTGGGACTGGAGCTCCCAGGTGACCCCAAACCACCCCCCCTCACTTTGGCTGTAACTCAACCTCTGCAGGGAGCGAGGAAGAGTTGGTGGCTGTGTCACTGGGCTGGGCCGAGTCCTCGGTCAGGGCCCTCTCCAGACTGGCCGGCAGGGAGTGGATCAGCCTGTCCCGGAAGTCCTGGCCCATGAAGACGTAGAGCATGGGGTTGAGGCAGCTGTTGAGGAAGGCCAGAGAGCTGGTCACGTCGATGGCTAATCTCAGATCACTGGCCAGACCCGTCAAGAGGTCGCGGATTCTGATGGTGGCTATGAGGGCCACAACCTGATACGGGCACCAGCAGAGAAGAAAAGCAGCTACKACAAAAGAGAGGACCCGTAAAGGGCGGCTGGATCTGATCAGGCCTTGTCTGTGCATCTTCTTGGCGATGAGGCCGTAGCAGATGCCAACGATGGACATGGGCATGCTGAAGCCGATGATGAACCGGATGATCCCGCGGACCGTCAGCATGGTGATGGCCACTCTCATCTTCTCTGCAGGGTCTTGGGTCCAGGGAGAGAAGTCGAAAGTGCAGGCTGTTTTCCCAGTCCCACGCACATTCGTCACTGTCGTCAGGCGGATGATGACTGGCAAGGTGAGGAGCAGGGCACAGAGCCAGGGCCCCAGGATCACCCTCTTGGCCAGACTCACGGTGCGGTGGTTCTGGGCCCAGACCGGGTGCAGGACACAGATGCAGCGGTCCAGAGCGATGAGGGCRATCAGGAARACGCTCCCGAACAGGTTTATGTCCACGATAGTAAAAATTAGCTTGCAGAGGAACCAGCCAAAGGGCCAGTGTCCCCCCATGGCCTTGGAGACGATGAAGAAGGGCAGAGTGGAAGTGAAACAGAAGTCGGCCAGGGCCAGGTTCAGGTAGCTGATGGTGGTGACCGTGCGGGTCATCCGGAAGCCGGCCACCCAGATGACCAGCCCGTTGCCGAGCACGCCGAGGACAAAGGTGACCCCGAGTATCAGATAAGAGATGACATTCAGGACGACGTAGCCCTCGGATGYGCCCTGCACCCCTGCAGATGCGTTCGCGGGAAGAGAGGCGTTGGCCTGCATCCTGTCCACACCTGGAGTAGTTCAGCAGTGAACAGGCTTTAGTTATGGACCCCACACAGGTGCTCCAGCCCCTTATCTCTGCACCCACTACCGTCCACTCACTCCCTSGCTGTCCTCTAGGGTTCCCATACCAGCTAGAACAAAGTCACCACTGTCCCTTGGATCTACCCGCKTCTAAACATGGGCAACCTCTTCACAGACCTGCTGGGCTAGAGGGTGTCCTATGTTCCCCTGGCGGCTCACATGCAAGTCTCTCGCCAGGCGGACTGAACACAAACGCCCACAACAGACCCTTCACAACAGCCCGAAGAGGGGGACAACCTGGGGGTCGACCAACAGGTAAACAGGTGAACAAA